CCGCTGAGCTCGCGGGCCGCGCCGGGCTCGAACGTGGGAGCGGGAAGATGTTTTCCGCGCTCAAGAAGCTGGTGGGGTCGGAGCAGGCTCCGGGCCGCGACAAGAATATCCCCGCCGGGCTGCAGTCCATGAACCAGGCGCTGCAGAGGCGCTTCGCCAAAGGGGTGCAGTACAACAGTGAGTGCAGGCCGGGCGCTCAGGGTTTCTCCGGGGGGACGTGGAAAGTGGGGTCCGAGGGCGCTGCCCCGCGGGCCGCGGCGACTGGGACTTGGCAGAGACCAGGTCGCGTCGCGGGCCCGGAGGCATTGGGGCCCTGTCGCGCCCCCAGGGCCTTGCGGTTTGCGGGTGGATGTGGCAGGTCCTGTTCATCTCTGTTGAAGATATGCTGAGCCCTTACCTGTGGCAGGTACTCTAGGGGCGTTCACTCGGGGTCGGGAGTTGATGCCGGACCGGAGACGAGGTCCTGGAGGACCCCACGGCCGGAGGGTGGGCGACTCGGCCCATGGCGTTCCCCTCTGACCGGTGGGTCCTTCCCGAGGAATACCGGCACGTGTAGAAATCTGTGCGCTTAGTTTGCACGGTAAAATTAGTCCAGGCGTTTCCTGGTGCATTCTGCGGTGCCCTGATTGGCCCGGATAACCTCGTCCAAGAGTGATTCTTACATAACGTGGGGATAGCTCTGTGGTCTGTGACGCTTGAAGGGGTGGTGGGGCTCCCCGTCAATGAACCACGTGACTACCTGCCCAGGAGCTGTGAGATCCAGCTGGCCCTGGTGGTTTGAGCATTGGGATTTTTCTTTATAGACTTTGTATTCAGTTCAAAGGGAATATCATCTACGCCACATATTCCTGCCCCGCCCCCTCCTTTTTTAAAGAAGCATTTGTAAGGGATATATCTGGAAAAAGCTCCAGAAGGCACAAAGACTCTTACTTATTGTAGGAGACTTCTTTTCCCCTGAGGGAAGGAGGATTTATTTTCAGAAGCCCCGAGATCCCAGGACGTTTCCAGGCCTGTTATGAATTATGTAAATTGTATAGCTCCTGAACGCTAACTGTTCTCTTGACCTCTTTTAAGTTCTTCCATCTTGCTGTCCCTTTCCTAGCATTATTTAAAAGCTTTTTATGTTGTTCTCTGCTTTTAAATTGTTCCTTTTCAAGTATTTTCATATGTTGCTACAAGATTTTGGACTTCTCCCTACCGCTCCCTTTGCTACTTTAAGGGGAGCTTTCTGGTCTCTATGGTGACCTATTTAGACAGTAATGCACAATATACTGAGAAACTTAATTGGAAAGATCTCTGTGCAGGTTTAAAAGAGTGGTCGTTTTAGTTGTATTCAACTCACAACTTTGTATCTGTTTCTCTCACATTCAGAGAAGAGAATGTTAAGTCACAATACTCATTTGCACAAATCTTTAGGATCTACATTTGGATTCCCTCATTTACTTTTATCACTTATGGTATTATTTTAAACTTAATCCTAGTCTTGTGGAAATCGGAACTGGAAACTGTAAATTTTTCACCTTCTGAAAAGAAATTCCTGAGAGGCACATTGCCTAGCCTTGGGTGGTTAAAGAACTGGGGGGTGGGGGGTGGGGGGGGTGGCTCAGTAGAATTGTTCCAGAGAAGTAAACCCACCCTCAGGTAGTTGGGGGACAGGTTATGATTCCCTAGGACTGCAGGAAAGGGGGTGAGATGGAGAGAAATTGCATTTATAGGGAGTTTGTCTCTGTAGTTGAACAATATGCAACTTGGAACCTTTCTGATTTCCTTTATTTTCCAAAATATCTTGCATAGGGGAAACAACCCAGCAATCTGATGACTATACACTCAGAATTTTTAATGGCAAGAGTTGATGATGTCCAAGTGTAGATGTTGTTTCTTACAGAACCTTGTCCTCTTGGGGCAGACAAGTCATTTCCTTTTAAGTTGCTCTGATAATGAGAAGTGGCTCAGGTCACATGCAAGAGCCCCAGCATACACATCAAATTTAGAATCAAAACCCGAATGAGACATTGGACCATAATTATAGTTTGAAAGTTATTTACATTCAAAGTGGAAGAAAGAATGTTACTGGACTTGGTCTGTCCTTTCTACCATCACTGGACTCAATTTCTTAGCCCTGTTTGGTGAAGAAGCCTTAACTGGGACAACTTTCCAAGTGAGGAAACACCAGTCCTAATGGAACTTGTCAGGAGTGCCCTTGCTCAGGCCTGCATTCCTCACAAAGGATGCCTCCAGACACTGGAACAGCCAGAGTCCTGGCCAGGTGGATCTCAGTGCTAGAATTTAAAAATGAACTTAAGCACTCCTTCACTGACAAACCTTTTGAAAGGTTGATTTCAGAATAAGAGAGCTTTTCCAGGGTAAGAAGGAAATAGCTTTAAGATTATATCAAGATTCCATGAACAGACAAGTCATGTTTGAAAAAGAACCAAAGAGAACCTCTAGGAACGAAAAACATGATCGTGAAAATTAAAAAGTCAACAAACAGGTGAATCAGCATAATAACCAGACTAAAGAGAGAATTGGTGCCGGAAGAGAGATGTGCAGCCCAGAAATGAAGCAGATTCCAACACATGCCTGATAGGACTTTGAGACAGAATGGCGAGAACGGGGAAGAAGCAGTATTGGAGGGAATGAAGACTGAGGATTTTCCAGAATTCATAAAATACATGAAACTCCCAAGAAGTCCAAGTCCAGAGTTTTAAAAACATAGCCAGACACATCATTAGAAATTTTCAGAACATCAGGGCACCTGGGTGACTCAGTCAGTTAAGCGTCTGACTCGTGATTTCGGCTCAGGTCATGAGATTGAGCCCCATGCCAGGCCCCGTGGCTCAGCTTGAGATTCTCTCACCCTCCCTCTGCACTGTCCCCCCTCCCCCCACCCCACTTGTGTGCATGATCTCTCTAAAAGAAAGGAACGAAGGAACAAACAAACTGCGTTCAGAGAGCCAAGCATCACTCTGGCTGAAATGTCGTGGAAGGCGAGGGTGCTCAGCTTGCTTCCTGCACTTGGTAAACTCTGGTGCCAGACAGAGGAGGAAAACACAAGAAGCAGGGTAACCATCCAGTCCTGTCCGTGAGCACAGATCTAATAACCTAGTGAGAGGTCAGGAAATGAGCACTAGAAAAGCATCAGAATATTAATAACAAATCATTGCATTGAGACCAAGTATGACTACCCCAGGAATGCAAGGATTAACAGAAAATATATATTCTATGCTCTACTGTGGATTAAAGGAGAAAAAGCATTATAATCTCAATAAGTGCAAGATAAAATTCTTGATAAAATTCAACACCCATTCATGATTTACAGAAAATAAAAAGAGAAAACCCACTTCTTTTTTTCTTTTAAGATTTTATTTTTAAGTATCTCCACACCCAACATGGGGCTTGAACCCACAGCTCTGAAATCAAGAGTCACACGCTCCACTGACAGAGCCAGCCAGGCGCCCAGGGAAAACCCACTTCTTAGTAAACTAGGAACAGAGGGAACCTCTTTTACCTGTTTCTACCAAAAGGAGGGTATCTACCAAAACCTGTATCTGTATGTACTAATGAGACAGAGGAAGTGTTTCTTTTAAAATCCGGACCAAGGCAAGGACTCCCCACTTTCATTAAGCTTTTCCATTGGTTTATGGAATTACTCCCAGCACAAGGAAAAATAAATTAGAAGTGTGTGGGGGGGGGCAGATATATGCTCTTCTTCAGGGAAAAAATTAACATAAAAAATTAAAAATAAGAGCTTTCCCTTTGTCAGGATGCTGTTAGCTGTAGGAAGCTGACTACTCACAGCATCTTTACCATAGAGCCCAGCCTCTGTTTCTAGCGGTACGATAGAGCTGGTAACCTGAGCAGCCCTTCCCCTAAACCTGAACAGCCCTTCCCCTAAAAACCATTTTAAACACTTGAATAAAACATTTAGAAAAACATCAACACATCACTCAGTTCTTGAACTTTAAATAAAGATTGTACAGCTGTTCATTGCTCTTTTCTCAAAAGCAAAGCAAGTGGATATTGGGAGGGAAGCCAGCTCTGAAGCTGCCCTCTCCCTGAGGGCGTCTGCCTGACCCTAGCTATGTGGTAGTTGGGTTGGGGCAGGAAGAAAAACTGAACCCGTTCTAGGAATCCCTGCACAAAGCCCAAGTGGGTGACCTCCAAGTGGGTTTTCCTTAAAAACATCAATGTGGTCCCAAAAATCTCAAATGGAGAATTTACATAAGGTCTTCCCAGGTTGTTAGTGTTCCAGACGACAGGCAGAAATATTACAGGGGCCCTCTGATGAATGTGGCTTCAACCCAGACCTTAAAGGGGCCCTGTGGATAAAGTTCCAAGAAACGACAAGCTGCTGGTAGAAGATCAGGAAACACTCAGTAAACGAAGCACCCAGGATCCTGCAGATATAGCAAACATCAGACCCTGGCCTCTGAAAACGTCAGGTTTCACAGAACATAAAGTCGGTACACAGTCAATAATAACGTAACAAGTCTGGTGGCAGTTGGTAGTGACCCTTAGGGTGGTGCACATCTTACGATGTATATAAATCTCAAATTAGTGTGTTGTATGCCTGAAACTAGCATATCATATGTCAACTCAATGAAAAATAAAGTCAGTATGTATAATATGTTCACAGAAATAAAAGAGGTTTGAAAATATGAGCAGGAATTTAAAGACTATACAAAAAGGACAAGTAGATTTGAAAAGGAACCTGCCTCCGGAAAGCTAAGCTAAGAAAAGGTAAGAAACTGCAACCATGAAATAAGAACATAACACTATAACAAGTAATATCCAGAGAGTAAAAAGACAGTGCAGTTCCTGACCTGTTCTCAGGATGGCCTGGGGACTGGTGCTCTGGATTTGTCCTGCCCTCAGCCTGGCCAGGGGTCTTCTGGGGACAGGAGCCTGCCACCCCCTGGGGGTAAGCTGCACATGGTCTGTCCTGCTCATCCTCACTGAACGAGGGACAGAGGCCCCAGTGTCGGGGGACTCCCCTAAACTGGCATGCTTCCTGCAGGATGTTCAGGTTCATGACAGGGACCCAGGACATCCCCAGAACTGAGCTTACAGCACAGACATGCCCTGACCTTTCTCCCAGGTTCTCCTAGGTGTTTGGCTTCTGGCTGGAAGCGAGTCTAGATTGCCCAGACCTTGAGGGCAGTGGCTTGTTGTGTCCTATCTGGTGACATGATAAAGTAGGTGATGTTTCGAGTGAAGAACAACTAGCATGTCCCAAAGACTAAAGCTGGGCCTGGGGGAGCATGGGATGGGATGAGGAGGTTGATGTGGTGACCTGGTTTCACAGGAGGAGTAGTGAGTGTTCAAGAGCACAGGGGCTCTGGAGCACTTGGGGGTGCAAGGAGGGAAAAGCCAGATGGCCAGGGGGGCCAGACCAGGACTCTAGGGCAGCTCCTTGGTGTCCTCGCCCAGCCCCAGGGTGTGAAGCACCGTCCCCTGTCCACAGGGCTACTCCAGGCACCTGCCCTGGGTCCAGGAGCAGGGCAGTTCCCTCCCACAGGCTGCCCATCCACACGTCTTCTCAAGCCAGAACCTTCCCAGGGGTCCAGTCCATCACCATGGCCGTCAGCTTTGCTCCCATTCTCACCCTTGCCCCTTTGGCTCTGTGTGGCGTTCCTGACCGCTCTTCTTCATCTTTCTAGAACAAACCAGACCATGGCACTCTTAACACTGAATGCGGCAGGAGCCCGTCTTCCTGCACGGTGCTGCAGGATTTGGCCCCTGCCTGCCCAGAGTCCACACACTCGGCTGCCTGTGGGCTTGGTCACCGCCACGTGTGCGCACCCAACTCCCAGGCTGCTCCATAAATACGTGTGCAGCAAGTAAAACAATCCTGGCTTTCACCCCACCTGTGTGGCCTTGAAAACGGTGGCACTCTGCAAAATTGTGTGCTAAAAATGCCAGGGCTCTGAAAAAGTAGGTTAAGAGCAAGTTACGGAAATCTAGGGAGCTGCCTAAGGAGAATGTCAGCCGCCCCCCGACCCCTCCTGCAGCCTGACCCTGGCCCTGTGTGTCAGGGATCCCCAGGACGTCCAGCTCCAGGGGAGACCACTTTCTTGCAGGTGCAAAGTCTGAGCGGGCTATGACTCCGTCAGCCCGGGGGGAAATGCCTTCGGGGCCCTCCTCTGTGGAACAGGGCGGGAGAGCCGAGGGCCAGGCTGGGGCCATGGCCCCTCGGGGATCTCCCAGCAGCCCAGCCCCAGCGCTCGGCTCTTCCCTGTTTGCCAGCCACATAGGCCACGCTGTGTGTGGAAGCAAACGTGTGTGGCGTGTGGACTCTGTCGATGGCGTTCGAGTTTGCCGCTGGTTTGATTTGGTCCCCTGCTCTGTCCTCTTCCCCCCAGTGAAGATAGTGATCCGAGGGGACAGGAACACGGGCAAGACTGCGCTGTGGCACCGACTCCAGGGCAAGAAGTTTGTGGAGGAGTACATCCCCACGCAGGCGATCCAGGTCACCAGCATCCACTGGAACTACAAAAGTGAGGGCAGGGGGCGGGCCAGGGGACGGGGCGGGCCGGAGGCGAGGGCAGAGCGCCGGCATGGTGCCCCTTGCGGGCTGGGGGCTTTGATGGGTCCTCCCTAGGGCTGGTTCCTCAGAGGCCCTTCCCCGGCGTCCCCAGCCGTGGCGTCATCATGGAAGCCCTGTAGACGTGAGGAGCCTCCTTGAGCAGAGGCGCGATCATGGGGGCACTCACTAGAGCTGCTCCGGGGTGGCCCTGAAGCCCTCCTGGCCACGGGCACGGCTGCAGAGAAACCGACGAGGCAGTGGTGGGGGCTCCGCATGGGGAGCCCGCTCTCAATTCTAGGGACCCCCAAAGGGCAAAAAGTTCCAGGTTAACACGGGCGACATCTGGGGGAGCCGGTAGCTGGTGCTCCCCACTGCACCAGCACTGGGCGCACATGTGTTCCACCAGCAGGAGGGACCCCTCAGTCCCTTTGAGCCCCAGTGCTTTCCCTCTGCAAGACTGCCTGATGGACAGAACATGCCTCGCCTTGCAGCCCCACAGGCAGCAGACAGTTGCTTTGCATGTTCAGAAACCATGAAAGTAAAAGTCCTTTGAACCATTTCAAACATTCCTTTTTACTGACAAAAAAACATAGTTGTGAGCAGGACACGTGGGGCCTGTAGAAGTTGTGACTCCCACCGAGTGATGGCCTAGCCCCATCCCAGGACAGCTGCACGGCCCGGCGTCACCCCAGCTCACTAGCTGGGCTGACAGAGCCTCAGGGCCACAGCCCCGGCACTCCTTCCCTCAGCTTGGGGGCAGGTGCACAGCAGTGCCCCACCTGTCCCCTCTCCCTTAGGAATCGTGGGGATGGAGGGGTGAGCCCACTGTCCTTGCACTTGGGCCGACCACCAAGAGACATGGCACGGAACCTGGGCCCAGACGGGCCATTCACAGGGTCCGCTCCCTGGGTCCTGGCACCCATCCCAGGCAGAGAACCGCCAAAGGGGCTAAGAGTCTCCCCTCTGCGGAGAACGAGCAGAGCACGGAAAGACAAGTAGTTCTGAGAAAGCCTGGTGGCGAGCCATCCCCACGGCCTGTGCGAGCGCCCACCTCCCAGCAGGGCCCTGTGCCAGGTCAGCTCCACCAGAAGCTTCAGTAGAAGCTCGATGTTGAGCAGCCGGCTGGAGAGGGCCAACGTCCATGGAACAAAGTTGAGGCTGGTCGCTGGATAAGAGTCAGGCCAGAGCATGGTCAGGCCCATTGAGGCCTGCCCCAGCACCCAGAGCCTGCTCTCCAGGTGCACCTGCACCCAGAGTCTGCTCCCCAGGTGCACCTGCAGAGGGGACCCTAGCTATGTGGCCCTGGCCGGGGACGAGCCCACCCCAGGGACATCTGCAGGAAATGGGGAGCATGTCAGCTGAGGACAAGCCAGGGTCGTTCAGTGCAGCCGAGCAGGAGCCTAAAACAGCGAGGAGCCTTGCTGCCCTCCGGGGAAGGAGGCTGCAGCTGGTGCGAAGGCTGTGGGTGGGAGTGGGGTGTCCTTGGTGAAGGCGCTGAGCGAGGAGCCCGAGGTGTCCTGGTGGGGGACCCACACTGGAAGAATGGGAACACACAGCAACACCTGGATGGCCCCTAAGAGCCCAAGTGTGACCAGAAGGTCGAAGGTCATGTTGGACACTAATCTTCATGTCTTCCCCTACTTTAGCCACTGATGATATCGTGAAAGTTGAAGTCTGGGATGTAGTTGACAAAGGTAAGTCATATCTTTTCATCATGAGTACTTTTTCCTGATGCTTTATTCCTTCTGTGAACAGAAGTCCTCCTTGCCCCCCCCCCCCGCCTGCCATGGCCACCTCGTTGGCACATCCTTATGGGGATCGTGTCCGGCATCTCAGACTTGCAAGTCTCTGCGTTCTCCTCAGACTCTGGGTGGATGAGGAGCAGCCCGGGGCTGCAGGAGGTCTGGGCCTTAGAGCAGCTCCCTCCTGTGTCTGGGGTGGACGGGGCGGGACGCCCAGCGGTGACCTGTCGGGACTGCAGCCTTTGCTGCTGAGATGCACATTTCACCCACTGAGGCAGCACACGGTAGTGGGGGGCGGACACGGGTGGCAGAACTGGGGGGGCTCCATACCCAGAGGCCCGCGTGAGCTGTTCCAGGAGCCCCCGCTGCAGCGGCCCCGTGCCCAGAGCTGAGCGCCAGCTTGTTGGCTTCCGAAGCTGCCGCCCCTCGGGGGCACGTGCCCACCTGACTGCTCTGCTCGGGCACCGCCGGCCGGGTGTCTCTGCTCTCCCAGGGAAGCGCTTGAGCTGTCGGGGCCCCAAACCTCCGGGGCCGTACCCATGTGTGCCTGGCAGTCAGGGGCAGACATGGGCCCCCTTCGGCACCCTCTTATTTCCTCCTCACTCTCAGGCCTTGAGCCCGTGTTCCTCCCTCGTGCCAGTGCCCTGTGCGGCCCGTGTGCTGCTGAGCGTGGTCTGACCTCTGACCTGGGAGGCTTGCCACAGCTGCACGTGTCCTCCAGTGAGAAAGGAGACTGTGGTTTCTGGTGCGGAATGTGCCCACCCCTCTCCTCTCACCGTGTTCTCAGGAGATGGGTTTAGGTTCCCAGGACTGATTCAGCTGGTATAGGACAGCCCGAGGGCGAGCAGGAGCACCAAGCAGGAACTGCTGCCCGCCGGGATGCCTTCAACCCTGGTGGGCTTATGTGGGCCTCATGCTTCCAGACCTGGGCCGGCAGCGTGTCTGTGCACGTGTTTGGAAGGCAGCCCGTGCGGCGTGGTTACCGTTGTGGATTTGAGGGGAAGCCTCCACGCCCTGGGGGCTCCCCTCTTGAAGCACTGCCCACCCCCCTCCTGGCCTCAGCCCCATTGGTTTGGGGTAGAATGCAGGTTTCCAGAGTGGAGTCCATATTTGGGGGCACAGGGCCCCTTCCGGTCAGCAAGTGACGTTGTCACTGGTGGGAACTGCCCCGTGGTGCAGAGGAGATAGAGCTCCACTCCATGGATCATGGGTGTGCCCCGCTTCCTGCCTGTGGAAGGCACAAAACCCGCACCACGTGCAGGGACGGCTGGGGCAGGGATCCCTTGGCCCGGCTGTTCATGGTGTCCCACAAGGCGCAGAGAGGGCCGGGGACAGGGTGGCCGCGCAGGCGAAGGTCCTAGGCTTGTGTGTGGGTGCACAGCATCCCCACAGCTCCGTGCTGCCTGGTCCCCCGGGTGAGAAGGAAAAGCCCCCTCTCCACCGCTCCAGCTGCTTGCCTCTTGGACAGGGTCTGAGCGGCACGCACAACAGCAGAGGGCATCGAGTTTGAGAGGCCGAGATCCTGGTGGAGAGCGGGAGAGGGGGCACAGAGGCGAGGCCCGGCGAGTCTTGGGGCAGGGCCCAGAAACTGCTGGTTGGGGCGCCCCCAGGAAGAGAGGGCCCTGGGGAGCAGCCTCGCATCCCCCAGGCAGCGGTAGCTCCCTGAGACTGGGGCTGGTGCTGCAGGCGCCGCCGCGTGGCCAGCTTCTGCTGACCTGCGACGGCCCCGAAGGTGGTGAGAGGGTCAGGAAGAAGCTGTGGAAACTGGCAGCAGTCGGTTTTGTAATAAATGAACCCAGTTTGTTGGGGGGAGGAGAGAGCTTTCTTAGTTTGCCCAGGCCGTTCTTCAGACCGAGGGACCTGGAATTCCCAGGGTGACAAACCGCTCCTCCTCCTCCCTTACAACTATCTGGGAGCTAAAGGGGAGGGAGCACCGATGGTTTGGGGCCCTCTAGTGCTCAGGAGCCACTAGGCCGGCTCTGGCACCCTGTGCTGCTCGGGGCCTCGGCCCCGCCCGGGCAGCACCTGAGAGACTGGGCTGGGCTAGTCTGTGCCAGCCGACAATGCCCTTTCAGGGCCGGGGCCTCGGCCAGTCCGGCAAGGAAGTGCCGGAGCTTGAACCAGAGCCTGGGTGGCCATTAGGGCTGTCTCGCTGAGCAGCCCGCTGAGCCCTGCCGGGCACCTTCCAGTTGAGGCCGGGCTGTTGGAAGCCCCCAGGGCCTCTCCTGGCTAGGTCGGGGCCGCTGTAGCTGCAGGGAGGTCTCAGTGGGGTGGGGGCTGCTTCCTGCCACCAGTGGGGTGGTTCCGTTGCCACCTGTGAGGGCCGGGGCCCCCCGGGGCTCCTAGTCTGACAAGGATGGCCCTGCTGGAGATGGGGGCGGCATGGGGATGGGACTTGGGAGAAGTGTTCCTCCCTGGGGCCACGACTCCCCCCGTAACTGTCGTCTATCTTCTAACAAGGGAAGTGCAGGCGGCGAGGTGATGGCTTGAAGGTGGAGAACGACCCCCAGGAGGTGGGTAAGCTGCGTCCCCCCGTGGGGCCCAGCATTCCAGGTGGGGGTCAGGACCCTCCCTGGGACCCCAGTTGGACCAGCTGGCCCCACTCCTCATGGGCCCCTGTGTTGTCCACGGGGGTATTTGGGGATGTCTGGGCTTGCCTGAGCTGTTAGTGGTGACGCTTGCCAGGCCCCACAAGGAGTTTCACGTGAGAGGTATTTAGGTGCACTGGCCAAATGCTGTGGCTCCAGGCACACAGGGGCACAAGTATGGCTCTGAATGGGCTCTCCCGGCAGCCATCACCCTTGACACAAAGAAGTCAGGGGCAGACGGGCACCCCTTCCATTCCAGGGAAGCTTTCTCCCCATTGTTTTCGAGGGACCCTGCTCTCTGTCCTCCTGCCCGTGGACAGTCAGTCTCAGGGTGGTGGGCAGCCTCTTGCGCCCCTTTAGGGCAGGAAGGTTGGGTAACGGCCTGGTTTAGGTCTGTCTGGCCCTTCATGGGAATCTTTGCTACTGCCCCACAGTGCAGCCACGCCTGTGTGTGTGCTCTAGAAGGTTCTGTGTCAGCGTCTTCCTCAGGCCTGGAACGCACCCCGCACAGTAGGTAGGGCACTAGGTGCTCCAGCACCCCTCTCGGGCGCTCGAAGGTCCCTGAGGCTCACGAGGAGGGTGCCGCTGGCTAGTGGAGCAGGCCCTAAATCAGGGGTGGAGCAGATGTGGCCCCAGAGCCTGAGCCGTTCACTACTAGAGCCTTCTAGGCAAAGTTTTCTGGCCCCCACTCTTGATAATCTCCTTTACATGTTTTTTTCCAAAATGAAGACTGTGCTTTTCAGCCCTCCCAGGAGACAGGGCTCACAGCTGTGGGAGCCTGCCCTGAGCACCGTCTCATGCTGGTTGTGCCCCGTCCCTAGGCAGAGTCCGAGATGGCCCTGGACGCTGAGTTCCTGGACGTGTACAAGAACTGTAATGGGGTGGTCATGATGTTCGACATCACCAAGCAGTGGTAAGGGGGCGCTGGCTGGAAATAGCCCTCGAGGCTCCTAGTACCGCACCACTGGAGGGCCACCCCTGGGGGTCCAGCAGATTGTAGCGACACCAGCAGCTCAGCCCCATGGAGGCCGTGCCTGGCCGTCTCCGGGCATGTCCACGAGCACAGACGCAGCACGTGGAGGGCCGGCTGCAGGGGGACAGCACGGGGGCGGGGCGTGCACCTTCCACGGCCCCGTAGCCCTTCCTGGAAGTACCGTGCAACATTTGGCAGAATCAAATGGCCATTTGTTTGGGGTTCCCTAAGACACCCCTGACATTCTTTGATTCACTAAGGGGATGCAGAGCTAAGATCCCAGCAAAAGACTACAGAGGGAGGTGCAGGGGTGAGCCTGGGGGCGGCCCAGCGGCAGCTCCCAAGGGGCCCCTCCTCATGGAGTCACATGGGCAACATGACACATGTGAAGTGCTGTCTTCCAGGGCAGATGGGGACCCTCAATTCCCTAGGCCTGCCAGGCGACTGTTGGTGGAGAACACCAGGAGCCCCCGCCCGACAGCCGCCTGGGGCCTGACCGCTGCCCGGGGCCAGCCTTCCTGCAGGCCTCTCCAAGAACGACGGCCTCGGGCCTGCCCTGCGGATGCTGTTCGGTGCACTGCTGGAAGTCTTACAGAATGCAGGAGGAGGAACTGAGCAGCCCTTGTAGAAATGGCCTGTAGGGTCGTCACTCCATTTTCAGTTTTTAGAGTTGTTTTATGATCCTTGCATTTGTAGTACACGTTCACCGCAGCAAACTCAGATGTCAGACGCTGCTGCTGATGTCATTGCTGGGGTCCAGCCAGGTTTCCCCAGGGTGTTCCACACACACACCTCTGTCTTCAGAGCTCTGGGGTCTTACTAACAGGTCTGTGTGGATGCTGCTTTGATCGGAGAATACATTCCCGCACAGGGATCCGACAGGGCCTCCCACCAGCCCTCCTAGCGCACGGGGACGCACTCCTGGGTGCCTCCCATCGTGGACCGCCCACTAGCACGTGCATGAGAGGCCCCGGGGTGGCAGCAGGCGGAGCATCAGAAATGTGCAGAGCAGGGTGGGGCGGCCCTCAGGGCGCAGACGTGCCCTGCAAGAGGCAGCCACGCCGGCCCCCCCCCCCCGGGGGGGCAGCAGGACCAGCGTTTCTCCCGTGTAAGCTGCAGTGGTCCCTTCCACCCAGGGGGTTAGAGGTAGCTTTCCCCACATGGAATCTGGTACGGACACTCTTAGCGGCCACTCTGCTCCGGCAGGCCCCCACATCGCTGAAGCCCCGTAGCCTTTGCTGAAAGGCAGGAGGCCCACATGGGGTAGCTGTGGGGGGCCCACTGGGAGGCATACCTGGGCTGCAGGGGGCAGAGCAGGCGCCAGCAGATGCGGGTCTGCCCGCTGGTGCTCAGAGCCTGGGCCAGTTCTCGGAGGCCGGGGACCTGCGAGCAGCAGCACGCTCCCTGCAGGTGGCGCCACTCTGTCTGGGTCCTTGCTGTGGCCAGGGAAAGCAGCTGCACTGACCCCCTCGTGGGTCAGCTGGCACTTGCAGTGGACGGTGCAGGCCAGAAGAAGGCCCAAGTGCACTGGGCCCCGCAGGGTGGAGGAAATGCTAGAGCCCGCGCAGGAGGGCAGACACCCCTGGCCCTTTGTTAACACTCCCAGTGACTGCGTGTAAGTCAAAACTAAAGTCTGGTTTGCCGCGTGGGCGTGCGTGTCGGCAGTCTCCAGGTCGGAGGCACGTTACTCCTCCCTTCACACGCCATCTGGGAACCCCAGCCATGGGCCCCAGGCCTGGAGAGCAAGGCCCTGACACTGCAGAAGCAACCCCTCGGAGAGCCCACAGACAGGGTGCGAAGACACCTCATCAAAGGGACCCCCCAGGAAGGGAGCTGGAGAGAAAACAGCAGAAGCAAGGGCTGTTCTATAGGGTGCGGGCGCTCGGGGTCCTGGGCCCCGGACACACAACGGCTTGGGGTTGGGGTCTCGAGGTTGACACTAAGGAGGTCTTTCCTCTCCTGTGCCCCCTAAGGACCTTCAACTACATCTTGCGGGAGCTTCCCAAGGTGCCAACCCACGTGCCAGTGTGCGTGCTGGGGAACTACCGCGACATGGGCGAGCACCGAGTCATCCTGCCCGATGACGTGCGCGACTTCATCGACAATCTGGACAGGTGGGTGGGGCAGCCCGCCCTCCCCAGCTCCGGCGGTCCCTAAGCCAGGAGCCATGCTGCGGCAAGAGGACCTGGGACTAAGGATGGCAGAACCGAGGGTTGGCAGCTGCCTTCCTGGCACCCAGCAGGCCTGCGGGGGAAGGGGGGTGGTCCCTCCATCCCTCTCTGAGGCCGGGGGTCAGGCTGATGCAGCGAGGCCCCCTCCTCTGGGCACGAGCCCAGGCCGGGCGTCACCTGCTGGGCCCTCAGGTGTGGGCCCTGGGAACGTGGGGGCGCTGGCTCCAGCCAGGGGGGTGGGCGCCGGCATCAAGGACAGCCTGGCCCAGGTGTGGCCACTGGCCCAGAGGGGCTGCGCCCTGCTGCCCACCACCAGCTGCCTCAGCCTTCAGAGCCATTTCGTTCTTTTTGCAAACAGGCCTCCAGGCTCCTCCTACTTCCGCTATGCCGAGTCCTCCATGAAGAACAGTTTTGGCCTAAAGTACCTTCACAAATTCTTCAATATCCCGTTTCTGCAGCTTCAGGTGAGCCCCGCCTGTAGGGTGCAGCAAGCGGCCCTGGGTTCTCCGGGGGCCGCTCTGGTGCAGGGACAAGACCACCGTCAGGACTTAATGTGCTGGTGCTGGCGGCCCCAGCATGGCCTGCTCCATCCCCTCCCCTCTGCTGGGCTAGCCTGAGACCCAGGCTTTTCTAGAACTCCCACAGAGCCAGCTACAGGAGAACGCAGGGATCCTTCAGGGGCCCGTCAGGCCGTTTCTGACCAACAAGGCAGGAACTGGAGGCGTAGACGAGTGGGTGCCTCAGGCCGGCACCAACTCCGCTAAGGTGCCCTGTGCCGGTCCCTCTTCCCCGTGGGAGCACACTCGGTGCCCCTCCCCGGGTTGTAGCTGCAGGGAGAGCCCCGCCAGGTCCCACGCCCTCCCGGTGCCAAGGGCTCCTGGTCCCTCGCTCCGTTTCCCCTGATGCCAGCCTCTCAGGTTTCCACAGTGCTTCTCTCCAAACCACGGAAGCAGCGTTGGCGCGCTGACTGACGCGAGGCTATCCCCCCAGGTGTCTCTCACAGGCCCGGCCCCATCTCACCTGGAGCATTCTGCTGAGCCTGCTCTGGGCTGAGAGAGCGTCTCAGGGAGCCCCATTCGGGGGTCACATCATAGTGGGGGCATGCAACATCTTGTCGTCGGGATGCTGGCCCGCGGCCTCTCTGCAGCCAGGGGGCTGCCATTCTTTCTCCAAACTGTGTGGGCCTACTCGGGAGAGTGGTGGTCTTTCCTCTCCCGGCTTTTTCTGTTTGGAAGGAAACGAGGGCCCCACAGACAGGGTGCTTACTTGGTCTCACTTGGAAGGAAGGCTGGTATGAGCAGACTCCTCAGCGGGGTCAGCTGTCCCTGCTCCCTGCCGTTTCCCTCGGGACCCTCCGTGTCGCATGTGTCCCTCTATGGATCCCTGTAGCTTCTCATCCACGTGTGACAGGCACACAGATCTCAAGGGAGACACCCCGTGTTCCCTGTGCCTGGCAGTCAGCGCTGCGTGTCACTGGGGGAAGAGGAATGTTGTGTAGGTCACAGCTGTGGCTGATGCACGTGGAAGGGCCGAGGACTGGCCCCGAGGTGGCGTGTGCCAGAGGTCGGAGTGTGGAAGGACAGGGCAGGAGGCCTGGTGTTGGGCATTTCGGAGCCGCTCTGGCTTCTGGGGGCACGTGTATGGCCGGGGCACCGTCTCTCGGGGCGTTGCTCACAGCACTGACCGCGACCTCGGAGCCCCACTGAGCTGCTTGGGTGTCCTGCTCGCTGCTGTGTCCTCCGTCAAGGGCTGGCTGAGCGGGGACGCAAGGCTGAGGGGCTCCCTGCTCTGTCCTCTAGAGAGAGACCCTGCTCCGGCAGCTGGAGACGAACCAGCTGGACGTGGACGCCACACTGGAAGAGCTGTCAGTGCAGCAGGAGACCGAGGACCAGAACTATGACATGTACGTCCGCCCGGGGGCCGCCCCTGGACGTTAGCCCTGCAGGCAGGCTCTGCGGGAGGGCCCGCGTCCTGAGGGCCGACCTCCCTCTGCATGCCTCCAGCTTAGGTCTGTGCCGAGCCCGACAGCGCGGAGTGCCTTCCTCCTGGGCACACCTGATGGCCTGAGTGGGTCGTATGGCTCCGAAAAACCCAAGTCATTTCGGCCTCAGACGTGGCCACGGGCAGGGACCGGAGTGCGGGCAGGACAGTGGCCCTCACTGTGAGGTCAGCCGGCAGCCCTTCCTGTTCTCTATAGCAGGGAGCTTGAGGACTAACGGCCAGTAGAGCACGTGCTCGTCTGGAACAGGCAGCTTGAATTGGACGTGGAGCCTCCGGCCCTGGGCTCCTCCGGTTGCTCCCTGAGGCCCACAGAGCACACTGGGGCTGGGCCTTTTTAAATTGGCCTCACCGGAACCCAGGGGGCTCCACCTGATGGGTGTGCCCCGGGCCCTGCTGACTGCCCATTTGCTAGAGGTGGTCACTGTGCGGGATGCCACTGACCCAGGACAAGTGTCCACCCAAGGCCCTGCTGAGACTGGCCACCCTCGTGTTTTCTGGCGCAGGCTGCTGTGGTTGGAGGTCAGTTTCCCAGATAGTAGAGTAGGTCTTCAGAGAGCTCCTTGACCTTGGGAGGGGCTTGTGGTGCTGAAGACTGGGGGTAGGGATAGAACCTTCCGGTCCTTGGTAGCGGAGGGAGGGAGGTTCCTGGCTGCAGCTGGGCACGGCCAAGCACACAGCTGCGTGGGGGGCGAGCAGCCCTCGGGCAGGCCTGGCCACCGCCTGCTCAGGGCTCTGGTGGCCACCGTCCGCAGCTCCTGGGAGAGGCACTCGCTTTCAGGAACTGGTGACCCTGAACTACCCCTAAACACAGATGTTTCTGTTTTGTTTGGTTCCCACTGAAAGCACCTAAATGTCACAGCTGCCTGTGCTCATGTCCTGGGCGTGGTGCTCCCCCAGCAGGGGTCTCTCCCCACAGGGACTCACAGAAGGGCCTTTGTGTTGGTCCCGGAACTAGCTAGAGTGGTTCTGGGGGAGTGAGTGCTCGTGCACCTAGGCTGCTTGGCTGGTCCCAGGAGGGAGCCCCAGCCTGGTGAGCGGCTGCCCCTGCCATGGAGCCCATCCCGGGGTTGACTGGCTTCCACAAGCTCCTCTGACCAAGAGCTTGGGTACCCGGCACTACCCAGCATGTTGCCCCTGGGGAGATGGCAGCCGGAGCCTCTCCTCCCCACGCGCCCCTCAGCGAGCCCTGGGACCAGGCTGCCCGAGGAAGGCAGCAGCATTGCGGGCTTGGCACCGACGTGTCCGTGACCTAGAACACGTGGGCTAGGCCAAAGACGGGCCAGGGGCTGGGTTTCACCCTCAGCCTGCCCATCCTTCTCCCTCCACCCCGAATCCTAACTTGGAGGTGCAGGTGGCCAGCCCAGACACACCCTTGTCGGTCGCCAGGGAACGGGGCAGCTCTTCATTGTAGACCTTCTGTCGGAAAGCCTGCCTCGGGAGGGGAAGGCGTTGCCACGGGCTGGTGGCGTCACCGGCCTCAGCCCGTGGACAGTGGGGCTCGTCACTGAGGTTCCATCGATTTGGAGCCCCCGGTTTGGGCTGCTCCCTATCTTGGAGGTTTGGGGCCCTCCCCGTAGCAGGTCCTGTGCCTGCTGATGGGTGGAGAGCACAGGGTGTGGGTGAGGAGCCGCCAAGCCTGCCTGTCGGCACTCGCCAACCCCTTCCCTGGTGGGATGCTCTGCTTGATGCTAGGGCGTGAGAGCCGATGAGCCCGAGGGCCAGGACACTGCTGTCACCCTCATCTCAGGGGAAGAGACTTGGGGGGGAAGGCAGATTGCTCACTGCCTGTTCTGTATCCCCAGCTTCCTCGAGTTGATGGAGGCACGCAGCCGTGGCCATGCGTCCCCACTGGCAGCCAACGGGCAGAGCCCATCCTCAGGCTCCCAGTCTCCAGTGGTGCCTCCCAGCGCTGTGTCCACAGGGAGCTCCAGCCCCGGCACACCCCAGCCAGCCCCACAGCTGCCCCTCCACACCCCCTCAGCCGGCCCCTGTCCCCCACCCCCCACGGAGGCCCCACTGCCCCCTGCAGCCCCTGCCCCTCGGCGCAGCATCATCTCGAGGCTGTTTGGGACCTCGCCAGCTGCCGAGGCAGCCCCTTCACCCCCAGGTGAGCCCCGGGAGCGGAGCAGGTGGGTGTGGGTGGCCCCAGTGGTGGAGCACTGGCCCCATGAGCTTGCAGACCGGGACAGGGTCTTCCTCCTTCCTCCTGGGCAGGCGGCCCCACAGCCCAGCAAATGGGTACAGCCCGGGATAGGCCCGGTGGGGGCGGGCGTTGGACAAATGGGAACTGGCCTCTCCCGTCCACAGAGCCGGCCCCAGCTGCCGAGGCCCCCACCAAAGTCCAGAATGTGGAGGATTTCGTTCCCGAAGAAGGCCTTGACCGGAGCTTCCTGGATGACACAGTACCCCAAAAGGATGAGAAGAAAGTCGGAGCCAAGGTCCTACAAGACAGTGACAGGTAGGGGCAGAGGCCGGGCGGGCCCTCAGTCTTCCCCCAGCCTCCCCCAGCCTCCCCCAGCTCTGGGTGAGCCGAGGGGACAGGCCCCACCAGTTCGGCAGCATCTCAGAGGGAAGGGTTCCGTGAAGCCCCGCACCCCAGGAAGAAGCCTGCTCAGACCAGCCGTCACGCTGCTGCGTTGCTGACGTGGGCTGGGCCTCAGGCTCCATGAGCTCCCTGCCCACAGAGAGGGAGCAGGGGGAGTGAGGCTGGCCTGACCCTGCATGTTGGTGCCCATGACCCACCGTCAGCACCTTCTTGGGCAGAAACCATTGAGAGCATGGGCACTGGCAGGAGAAGCCCAGGGCCGGAGAGCAGCCACCAGGGCCTCCCCGTGACGGGCAGACAGAGCAATTCAGGCCTGGCCTCCTGCCCCTGCTCCTCACCCCTCATCATCGGCTCCTGGGCCTCTCCTGCACGTGCTTCCCCGCACCGCACTGAACGCAGGTCGGACCCACTAGTCCCCAGCATCCCCGGCTCCTCCCCCAGTACCAGAAACACCCCCAGCCCATCCCTGCCCACGCCCTGCACCCCACCATCATGCAGGAGGGTGCCCACTTCACACGTCAACAGCAGGCCCCACCGTGGCTTCTTGCTGCATGCTGGTATCTCCGGCCCTCTCCTTGGCCCCCACCTCGCACCCCCGCCCCCGCGCTGGCCTGCGCCCCTGCTATACCACATACACCAGTGGGTTCCCTTGCAGAGGGGCCCCCGAGACCTAGACCGCCCTTGCAGCAGGTCCCGTGTCTGTCTTCCCACAAACGTTGAGTGCCAAGGGTAGACCAGCCGTCAGTGCCCACGCCATGCCCAGAGAGGACCTCCGGTGCCTGTGGGTGCCGGGGTCTGGAGCTCTGGGTGGGAAGCTGGGCTCTCTGTACCGCCCTGCTAACCTCTGACCACCCTGCTCGTCCCCCCTTTGCAGCGATGGGGAGGCCCCAGGTGGGAACCCGCTGGTGGCAGGTTTCCAGGATGACGTGGACGTTGAAGATAAGCCGCCCGGCAGGCCCCGACTGCCCCTGGGCCCCAGGGAAGGCGTGACTTCTTCCAGTGAGGAGGAAGCAGAGGGGGTGGCGGCGCACCCCAAGACCACTGTCCTGGTCCCCGAGAAGTGCTCTGAGCCAGAGACCAAACGGTATGTGGACGGGACCCGTCCCAGGGGCGGGGGCGGCCGAGGGCCCCCTGACCTCTTCCTTGTCCCGAAGGTCCTCCACAAAGGCCGCGAGGCTGCACAGGGCTGCAGTTCCCAGGGCTGCGGAGTCCCGCCGGCCAGGCGTCCGCAAGTCCCCCACCGAGGACCCCTCTGGAGGGCGTGAGGAGGGCAAGGACCAGCAGGCAGCATCATCAGAGAGTGACCCTGAGGGGCCCATCGCCGCCCAGATGCTCTCCTTTGTCATGGACGACCCCGACTTTGAGAGCGACTCGGACCCTCAGCGGAGAGCGGTGAGAAGGGGACTTGGCACCCACTCAGCTTGGAAGCCCTGGGGACAGTCTCGGGCAGGAATGGCAGGAAGGAAAAAGCGCCTGGCGACATCCCCAGGGAGGGGCTGCAGCGTCCTGGCCCCCGCATTGGTCCCTGCTGGCCACCCTGACTCCAGGTTGGGTGGCAGGGTCTTTCGAGGTGGCTTGTCACCTGCCTGAGAAATGCAGGAGCCCTCCCACGGGGGTCACATGATGGAGGGTGCTGGGGAGGACGCTGGCCGCCCAACCTGCCGGCTCCTTCTCCAGGATGAGTTCCCAGTGCGAGAGGACCTCTCTGACGAGACAGATGAGGATGCTGGTCCTGCCCAGCCGCTCCCACCCCCCAAGCCCCCTGTGTCCTCCTTCAGACTGAAGAATGACTCGGACCTCTTCGGGTTGGGACTGGCGGGAACGGGCCGCAAGGAGATCAGCGATGAAGGTAGTTTGGGGGCCCAGGTGGGCTGGGGGTCGTGGGGTGCATGCCAGGACCGTGTTGGAAGGACGGGCAGCAGGGGGCACCTGGCGAGTGTCTGCTCAGGTGGCATTTGATGGCCTGGCAGGGTGGCTGCGAGCAGCATGCGCTTCAAGTCCCGCCACCTCTGGGAAAAGTCACATGGTCGGTAGGCCTGTGGAGCTCTCATGGCGCCTTGTGGCCCCGGTTCCCTGTCCCTGTCCCTGTCCCTACCCTCCATCCTGGGCCCCCTGAGCCCAGCTCAGAGCTCACGTGAGACGTGTCCCAGAAATTCCTTGTCCCCAAAATGGAGAGGAAAGGACCCTCCCAGGCTCGTGCTAGGGCAGAAGTGTGTCTGCCCGTCGGCAGGTGTGTGCTCTGGGCTCCCACGGGTCTCAGCGCACCTTCTGGGCCGTGCGAGCCACCCAGGCCCCCCCTCCCCATGCAGGCTGGGAAGCCGCAGGCCCATGCTGTGTCTTCTCTGCAGATAAGGAGGGCAAGCCTCCCACAAAAGAGAAGAAAAAGAAGAAGAAAAAAGGCAAAGAGGTAGGCACCCTGCCTCCCACCTCCCTGGTGCCTGCTAGGCAGTTTGGAGTCCTGGTGCCCCCACAACCTGAGCTGCCCTCTTCCCAGGAGGAAGAAAAGGCCGTGAAGAAAAAGAGCAAGCATAAGAAGAGCAGGGACAAGGAGGAGGGCAGGCAGGAGCGGCGGCGGCGGCCCAGGGCTACAGAGAGGACCGCTGTGGATGAGCTGGAGGCCTTCCTGGGGGGCGCAGCCCCGGGTGGCCACCTCCGCGGGGGCGGGGACTACGAGGAGCTCTAGGCCTAGCACCGCCCACCCGCTGGGGTGGGGACGGGCCACAGGCCCACTCCTCGCTCCTGGGGCTGCTGAGCCCGCCCTGCAGGGAGTGGGCTGGCGGGCGGTGGGCGCGACTCTGCGGGCAGCCGGTCCCCAGCGCTTCTCAGGGATGGGACTGAGGCCCAGGAGGCCGCGAGGCTGTTTACAGGGCGGGGCACGTCCTCGTCACCGGCCTGGCTCCTGCTTGCCCCCAGCCCGCTGCACTCGCTCTCCCAGGCCCCCCCCCCCCGCCATGCGGGTGGGCTCCGCTTCCTGCCCCTTCTGGCATGGGGGACAGACCCCAGGCAGCACCGGCACCTTTCCCGGGCTAGGGTCCAGCTTTGCACCTGTGCTGGGCTTGCTGCCAACCAGGCCGGGGGGTCCTCAGACTCTGTTTCCTCTCGTTCTCCTTCAACACTCCGACCATAAAGCTCTCCTGTTTTACTGTGTGTCTGTGTGCGCTTCGCCCTGTATACACGCAGCTCCGCCCCAGCTCCATCTGTCCCAGGTCACCGTGGGTGGGACTGAAGGTTCTGAGTTCCCTGCCTCTTTCCCAGAGAGGCAGCTGCCCCTGGATAGGAGGCCTTGCAGCCCCACGTAGCCCAGGGAGGTGGTCTGCAGAGGCCTTCCCGGCAGGCCCAGCCCCACGTCTGTCCGGTCTTGTGTAGGCTGGGCGACCTAGCCATTGTCCCGCACAATGTCCTGCCAGGGCTAGACAGCTGTGCCCAGGAACACCTGCGGGCCCCCAGCCCTCCGACGGCAAGTGCGGGTCTGCTCTGCTGGCCTGTCCCAGCCACCTTCCTGGTCGGCCTTCAGCCCAGCATCTCCCTGCAGACCCCGCCCCCTCCGGCTGCCAGCAGCGCCCAGCCCCCACCCAGCACCCCACAGTTGCCATGAGAACCATGCACACGGTGGGAGGGTGGGGGTGGTAGCCAGGCCTCCCCTCTCAGTCCAGAAGGCCTCCTCTTCCCCACTTCCTGTGCCTAGACGAAACCATGGCACGGGGCCGGAGGCCAGGCACCAAGCTGACACCTTAGGGACTTGCTTTAGTCCACAGCCTACGAGATCTACTGCCCGTGTGGAGCCCACTAAACGTGGGGAATCAGGCGGACATGAAATGAACTTGCCCAGGGCCCTGGATCTAATGGACCCACGACAGGGCAGGTCCTGCCTTTTGGAGCCAAGGGCATCCATGACTCAACCCTCTGCCAAGTCAGACTGTGCCCTGGCTCAGCATCTTGTTTGGGAGGGGCTGGGAGGCCTAGAGGGTGGAGGTCACCGTGGTTTGTAAGTGGACCACGTGCAGACCGGCCCAGGGCAGCGACAGCCCTCCACTCACCTAGACCCTGACCCCCAGGGAGCCCACGAGTGTGCCCTTGCCCAGGAGAGTCTGAGCATCCTGGGGACAGGAGGCTGCAGGCCTCACTCGGCCCCAGGTACCCGCAGAATTTGGCACCTCCGGCTCGGCCGCGCAGAGGCCAGCAGGGCTGGGAGCGGCCCATCTGCTCCTGCAAGGGCTCAGCGGAGGTGTGAATTCCGGGAGCTGTCAGCAGCCCCAGCCAAAGCTTGGGGCTCCTCCAGGGCCCTGCCCCAAGGCCACCGCCAAGCCACCAGCTGCCCTTGGCGCGGGGGGGTGGGGGGGGTACGGCTGGAGGTGGGGACTAGCAGGACCGGCAAGGTGCTCCCTGGGTGTGGGCACCCCGGCTGGACCCTAGGCCTGCACCTTGGAAATGAGGGAGAACTTGTCACCTGGCACTCAGCACCAACACACAGCTGGTGGGCCACACGGGTCCCAGGCCCACCGCACGGCCCCTTTAAGTGCAGCCCTGCCGGCCGCCACCGGAGGCAGCACTGAGCGGCCGGCGGCCTCCGCGCCGCTGCCTCGAAGCTTCTGCCGGTGCCGGGGACGCCGCGGAGCGCCGAGCAGGGAAGGCGGAGCGGGCGCAGGCCTGCGCAGCCCACCGGCCGCGCGCGGTGGGGAAGCAGCGCCCAGGTAAGGGGTCGCGGGCCGCTGCCCCACGGGCCCTATCACGGGGCGGGGGACACCCGCAAGGATGGGGGCCCAGCCCGGAGCTACACCAGCGGGTCCCGACTCTGGGCGCTCAGGGCGGGGGCAGGGCTGTGCGGCGGGGAGGGCCGCGGAAGGGGCTCGTTAGGCCTCCGACCCCTGCAAGGCCGACCATCCCCATGGCCTCGGGGAGGGGCGCCACCCAGTCCAGCTCCTCACCGCAGCAGAGGCAAAGCCGGGCTGTCACCTCCCTGGGGCGGAGCCTCATGCCCTGTCATTGGACCCCCAATCCGGGCCTGGCTTTGAGCTTCGGATGGAAAGGGGGTGAGAAGGGGACAGTCCTATGAACAGGGACGGAACTGGGGTGGGCGCAGGGCTGGGATGGGACAGGCAACCAGGCGTCATGGCCCTGACCCAGAAGAGCAGCCGTGCGGGCAGAAAGCCCCTGGCACCCTGGGACACAGAGAGTCTACCTGACCAGAGATCCTGCCAGGTGAGGGCCCAAACCCCGGCTCGCCCTCGCTCAGCCTGGGGCATGCTTCCCAGTTTGTTTGAGGAGGGGGCCGTCAGCATCGCTGGAGACCCGACCCAACCTGTCCAGAGACCCTGTGCACCAGAGGGGCGGGTGGCCCCAGTCCGAACATTAGCCCAGTGCACAGAGTGGACCCCAGCCCAGCCCCCACTGCGGGGGCAGAGGAACCTCAGGTTGCCATGGAGCCTTCCTGAGCTGTTGTGGAGAGGGCCCTCTCCTGAGAAGCAGTGAACAAGGGGGGGGCTTTACCCACCCACCACCCTGCCTCCCCTGCTTGCGGCCTGGCCTGGTGCGCTGCTCAGGGGAAGAGGGGCAGCCATGAGCTCGTGGCTCACGCCCCCACGTGGTCCTGCAGTCAGTGCCTGGTTTCCCAGCTGCAGTGCCCAGGCTGCAAAGCTGGGGAGTGGCTCTCCGGTCCTTGTCATGACAACCCCAACAAGCTTGGTGGGTTTCAACCACCCCAAGATATTGGGGATCAGAGAAGGTTTCTGCAAAGGAACAGGGGTTTTAGGGCCCAGGGATGCTCTTTGTGGGGCATTATTCTGGCCTGGGCCACACGGAGGGCTAAGAGTTGGGCAGGTCAGTCCGTCAGTCCAGGGGCCATGCCTGGACCTGATGGGGCCATGTCAGTGCCCACTGGGGCCTCCCAACTGGAGTTTGGTTCAGGGGACCATTCCCAGTGCAGCTGCCACTGCAGTCCTGGGGGAGGGACTCCATGCCCCACCTGGTCAGCAGGTGGGTAGGGAGGCTCAGTGACTTTGTGCAGAGCTGGCTAGGGCTGGGGCCCCTGGACTCCCCCTCAGACAGCACCATCGGAGGGCTTGCTATGCACTGGGCACTAGGAGAGGACTTGAGTCACCAACAGGTTTTGTGAGGCCAACACCTATAAAGCAATCTGTAAATAAGGCTTCCCATGAGCATCCAGTCATTGCAGCTGGGACCACCACCCCCATTGTTCCTGCCCCAGGAAAGGGGTTCTACCCAAACCTGTCCGGTGGTCACTACTGGGGGCAGAGGGGCCATCCAGGGATAGGGGCCCCGGGGGGCAAGAGCTCGGGAACCACAGCAATGGCATGGCTTTTCTGGCTGACTGGCTCCATCCCAGCAGAAAGTGGCCCTGAAAGGATGGCCTGGGGCAAGGGGCAGGACCTGAGTGGCTGGACACCTGGGTTCCTCCTGCAGGTGCTTCTGACGCCGGCATGGAGCAAGCGCCTGCGGCCTCAGCCAAGGCCCGCAGCCAGGACTGCTACGTCCACGGCGTCCCAGGTAAGTCAGGTCAGCGCAGGGGTGGCTCCAGGCCTGGGCTGCAGAGGGGACACCCTGACCCGCATCTCCCACCAGGCCAAAAGCCCCCCAAGGCAGAGTAAGCTGCAACCACCAGCCTGGGGACCTCTTTTAAGATGACCCGCACGGACCCGCCGGACCTGTTGGTGTCGACCGTGTACCAGGACATCAAGGTGGCGGCCCCGGGGCCCGCGTCGCGGCGCCCGCCATGTGAGCGCTCTGTGGCCCCGCCTGCTGCGCCCGCGCCTTTCAACAAGCGTCACTGCCGCAGCTTCGACTTCCTGGAGGCGCTGGACGGGGCGGCCATGGAGGCCCGCACAGAGCCGCCGCCCCCGGAGCCTGCCGCGCCGCGCGCCCGGCCCC